GGCAAGCTAATCCTTTTTCAAAAAAATTTAAATGCTAAATTTATGATTACTATTTATGAAAAAGGTCTTCTGCTATCCGCTAGTAAGCTTTTTGGTCAAGGTCACATAAAGTGGGTTTTGCAAAAGGATAATGATCCTAAGCACTAATCCAAGTTAGTAAAAAAATGGAAAAAGGAAAATGGTATAAAGGTACTTCCCTGGACGTCTGTTTCACCTGATCAAAACCCTATTGAGAATATGTGGGTGATCATGAAAATTAACCTTGCAAAAAAAAAAATTAGTAATCTTAGTACTTTGAAAGCGGAAATAAACAATAAATAGAATTAATTACCAAGTAGTCTTGCAGTAAAATTAGCTGCTAGCATAAAAAAGTGCATAGAGGCATTAATTGAGTCCAATGGGGACTTTATAATGTATTAGTAACTAGTACTAAATTTGTTTTTTTTAATAAAAAAAAATTAAAATTTTGTGCTACCTGTATAACGATCCAGAAGGAGTCAGTTACTTATGCTGCGCACTGTATCTTTTTCACGTTGAATACAGGTAGTTTAGTTTTTTCACATACTAAAAAAAAAAAAGGAAACCAAAAAAAACCCTGTAAGACTAAAACAAAAACAAAAAAAAAAAATGAATACTGTTATCAGCAATAACAAGGCAGTTAAAGTTAGAAGTCATGTTCAAAGAACTTCTTATAAAGTATCAGAAAAACTTATCATTATTCAAGAAGCAAAACAGATTGGTGTTTTGGCTGCTTCATATCACTTTGGTATTGATCAGTCTATGGTATCATGATGGAAGAATAATGAAAAAAATTTAATAATGTTGTATCTGGTAACCGATGTGTTGGTGCGGGAAGAACTTCATTTTACCCAGCTACTGAAGAAGAGCTTATTAAATAGTTAAATGAACTTCGACAAATGGGAATTGCAGTAACATCAGGTTCTATTAAAATGCAAATGTATACAATTTTATCAACAACCTGTGCAAATAAATATCCGGGTGCTTCACAACAATTTCATGCATCCAAATCTTGGTTTTACTGGTTTTTAAAATGACACCAACTTTCTCTTTGCCGTCATACTAAAATTAGCCAAAAGTTACCTAAAGATCTCACTGAAAAAATAATTGAATTTCATAAATTTGTAATTCAAGCTCAATTAAAATGTTAGTATGATCTTTCTCAAATCGTAAACATAGATGAAACACTTGTTTATTTTGACATGATAAGTTCTTATACAATTAATAATAAAGGTGCTAAAACGGTTCAAATTAGAACAACTGGAAATAAAAAAAACCAGTTTACTTGTGTTTTGGCAATTACGACAAATGGTAACAAACTCCCTCCCATGGTAATTTTTAAAGGTGTACAAATTCCCTCTAATCTGCCTTGTGGCATTGTTGTATGTATGCATGAAAGTGCCTGGATGGACGAAAATTTGATGAGCAAATGGATTGACCAAGTTTGGAACAAGCAACCTGGAGCATCAATTGTAAACAAACTTTTGTTTTTGCTTGTAATGGATTCATTCGAAGGACATCTTACTGATATTGTAAAAAATAAATGTGCAGTTAATAATATTCATAAAGCTATTATTTCGGAAGGTTTAACATCAATCGTACAACCTTTGGATGTGAGTATTAATAAACCATTTAAAGACCGATTAAAGGAAAAATGGTGTTGGTGGATGAGTAATGGCGAATTTTAGTTAACTAAGAAAGGAAATTTAAAATGACCATCATATAGTTTAATTTGCCAATGGATTTTAGAAACGTGAGATGATATTTCTGCAAAAATGATTATTAAATTATTTAAAAAATATGGTATTTCTAATGAATTAGATGGGACAGAAGATGATTTATTATATAATTCAGATCAAGAGAATAGTGAAATCAATGATAATAAAAATTTGTTTGAGGTAGTTGAAGAAGATAGTTTATCTGCTGAAGAACTAGAAGATTAAATTGATTTTTTTGTAAAAAATTTGAATTGAAATTAATAAAATTTATAATAAATTTTATATACAGTATACATATTTAGTAATTTTTAAAAAAGGGATTGCTTATTTTATTTTTCTAGCATTTTGATCTCGAAATGCAGAGTATTGCTTATTTTCAGGGGTTGCTTATATTCAGGACTTTATGGTATATATTTGTTTGGTATTAAAGTAAATAATATATATATATATTATATATATATTATATAATATTATTTGCCTTAAAGAAGTAATCAATTATAGAATATAATAATAGACAGATTATTAACTAATTAATATATATATATAATATTTATTTATTATATTATATAATTGATTACATTAGATTGCAAATAAACTTTAATTACTTGTTATTAATATTATACTAATTAAGGGTATGATGACTTAGTGAAGTAGATAAGTTGTCAACCCTCCAAGTAGTAGGTTGGGAGTTCAAAACCCACTGATGGCAAAAATTTGGAAAACCATCTATGTTACATTGGTGTATATGGGCATCTGTGCAATGCTAGAGTTATACAGAGGAATGCAAACTGGCATTGGGCAGTGCAAATACAAGATAAGTTTTTGAAACCAGTACTACAGCAACAGCTATCTATCGATTAGTTGGGATCAGTACTTGTAACACAGTTGCATCAGATAACTGACAGGTCATGGGGCATCTGTGGCTATGTAAATCTGTGAACTGTAATAACTGGAAGCCCACTTGAGAAAACCCAAATAGAGAGATAACATGGATCTTTAACAGTACTACTGTAAAGGCTAGACCTAGGAAACAGATACCAATGTGGAAAGAATCAGATAAGCAAGAACCTTAGGTAAAAGTACCACCAATCAGACTGCTAGAAGTCTTGAACCAGAGGAAAAGAACCTTGGGAGGCAGACTCTGAGGTACCAAGAACAGGTCACAGTTCTATCAGACTATCTGGATTAGAAGTCTGAGGTCAGAAACAGGGATATACTAAAGTACTAGGGATATGCTATGAAGTTAGTGCTGAGGTCTGAGTGAACTCTGCAAGGGCAAGCCCTGTTAACAAGATACCAAATATGGGTAGTTAGTTAGCAGAAGGGCCTTCTGGAGCCCTACAGTCAGGTAATATACTCTGAAATATATAACAGCTTGACAGATGTATAGACAGGAAGGTTATAGTTAGGTTAGATGGCACTTAGGTATACAGAAACTTGTATACTATTTGTCAGTATAAGTATAAGAATCAGAGTATTTAAAATAGGTAATTTCCTAGTAGATTGCAGATATGATAGCTAGTATAGAACCTGCTATGTGGGTGGACTACTTAAATTAGATAACCAAAAGTTGTACGTATGGCTAGTTGTATACTCACCTTGTACAAGTTATGTAATTATAATTAAAATACAATAAAGGCAATAGCCACCGATAACTACGGCCTTAGTAAAAGCAAAAAAAAAAAAAAAAATATTATACTAATTACAATTTTCTAATTAATACTTTCTAAATCTAACTCTAACTTATTAACTATCTTATACTTTTTAAATCTGACTCTAACCTGCTAATCAACTACTGTTAAATAACAAATATTTTTTAACCTTAACTTTATTTCTAATCTGCTAACCAATTATATAATACTAAATAACAAATAGTTTCTAACTTTAAACTCTAACTCTATATAACTTACTAATTACTAACTATATAATTAACTAACAACTATTTTATAACTTTAAAGTCTAATCCTAACTATTAACTAACAAATACTTTCTAACTATATCTTACTAATCACTAACTACTAACAACTAGCTAACTATTAAATCATAGTAACATCATTTATTATTGTTCAGTAATATATTACTAGCAAATATACCAATATCACACTATTTTGTTACTATTTAAAATAAGATAAAGTAATTTAATTGCAGATATTTAGTCTTTATATAATATTAGAAAATAATAAAACTATATAGTTAAATGTAAAAAAATAATTAAGCATAGTATTTGATTTTGACTTGAACTATAAGATGCATAAAGGAAATAAGAGAATTTGTTAAATCTAAATATAGCATACTATATATATATTATATGATTTAATTATTAAATATAAAAATCAAATTGCATAAGATTACTAACATTTGTTTATTGATTTATAAGGTTTATAGTTTGCTATATATGCACTATATTTTGATACTTAAGATATATTATTGTATAAATAAGTTTGTTCTTACTAAAGCAAAACATAGAGTAAAGTATATAATGCTATAAAAATACAAATTAAGATAGATGTATAAAAATCATAATTTAATACTATAAATAGTTAAAAATAAAATATTTTTCAAACCAAACTATTTTTCTTATAACCTTTCCTAATACTAACTCTAATACAAAAAAGAATACACTTATTTTTATCTTAATTCTAATTATTAAACAAAGGTTATTTATATTAACTATAGCTGCTATTAAAGGTTTTATATATCATTAAATTTGTACTTCTATATAGTACTATTTTATTGAATATCTTATAATAGTAAAAATGAATTAAGTCAATTAAATTATCATTTAAATAAACTTACAAACTCATTATAGCATATAGCAAATTTGCATAAATAAATTAGTTCAAGTATTAAATACAATAAATTTAAAAAATATATATATATACTACATCAATTATTAATAAAATATACTTATAATTATCTTAAAAAAAATAAGAAATTTGATTTTTTTTGTACTATTTTTTACAACCAGCTTTATTATATTCAACCTTATGACATTGTTGACATTCTGTCAGTTTTCAGCTTGAAGCTTTTTGCTTTATTTTTTGAGATCTTTTAAAATACATTTTGCATAGTGCATCTTTTTTTGAACAAATAATAGGATTTCGAATTAAAGACAAATTAATATTTTCAACATTATTATAGGTTTAAGAGGATGATTTGTTAATAGCATCCATATTAGAATTTTTAGAATTGCCAAAATCATGATTTGTATTATGTGATTTAACCAATATCTTTTGTTTATTAATATTTTTTTTGTGCTAATTCTTGACTAGTTACATGTTTTGGAGTATACTTTATTATAAAATTTTTTATAAAATCATTAAACTTTTGTATTGCAAAACATCTCATATCTAACTCCATTTGAATTATCTTTTTAAAAGCATATTAGCTTCTATATATTCCTTTTACTAATCCAAAGACTTATAAATTTGCTTATAAAGAATATTAGAAATTTTATAAGATATCTTTAAAAATAGTTAATTGGTTGCTAAAAATTCTTAAAAACCATCAGTAAAGAGTTGTTGTTGAAGAATTAAGATAATTTTTCATCTTTGTACTACTGTTTTGAAATAAGAATTATATAAAACTTAGCATGTACTAAATTTTCTAATATATAAAAAAATACTAACAAACAATACTATATCAGATCAAGCAAAAACAAGTACAAAAATGTGACTAATCATTAAAGAGAACCATATAATTTATTTTGTTATATCAATAGTAAATAAGTTTCCAAACTTCAATCACATCATTATAATGACCAATTAGAATTAATTCTTTTAGAAGTATTAATAGAATATTAACTATGTCTTTTGCAAAATCAGTACTAAGAAATTCATTTTTGTACATAATTTTAAAAATATAATTTTTATTTACTAAGTAAGGAGTATACCTATTGAATTAATTTTAAATTAATAAGCACATACTAAGATTTAACAATGACTATAACAAATTTTCAAATAAAGACAAAATTTATTTTAATTTATAGTTTTTTTATATAGTCTAAATTAAATTTAATTTAGAATCTAAATTAAATTTAATTTAAGCTAATTATTTTGAATTAATAAGTTTTGAAATAGCAAAAACATATTAAATTACTTAAGCAATTTCTTGTTGCTGCATAGAAAGGATGGCAGATATTAGGTAATTAGCAATCTACTTATTGATTGTAGATAAAAAATCATAGCTTGCATGTGTAAGTGTTAAACCAGTTACAAAATGTGTTTAATTTTAATATTGAATAGTTGAGAATATACAAACAAAGTATACATTAAGTTTTTTAAAAAGTTTTAAAATCAAAGTGTAACTATTAATTGTGCTTTTAATTATCATATTTTGTGTCTTGACTTTTTGTATAGACTGTAACCTAGTTGTAAAAATACAAGAAGTATAGGCAAGTGTCTTTTTTTTTTTTAAGATTCAAGTGATCTATCAAGATAAGAAGCTAAATCAAAATACTTTTCAAGAAAAGAATTTCAAAGAAATTTAAACTCAACTTGAGATAAAGTGTTTTCATTTTATACCAAGCCTTAAAAAACTCATTATACTGTGATTCTAATTTAGGTTTTAGGTTTTTTATAATGTTCTGTTCAATGTAATAGATACAATAAATATAGTATATATTTGGCATTATATTTATAATTACAATGTTCATAGCAAGATCACTATCTGTTATAATAACAGAAAGAAAATTATTTGTAGCTTGAACCAAAGAATTAAATATCTATTCAAAACTTTTCAATATTTTATCTCTCATCAATGTTTGTCTAATTAATTAAGATCTATTATTATTATCAATAACTATAAATAGCTCAAACACTATTTTAAACCAATTGGTCAAATAGGTATTATCATATTGCACTACATTACTGTATTGAGTATAAAGATTATATTAATCTGATGTTATCTAGAATAAATTTATTAAAGAATTTGTTACAGGGTTTATACTCCAATTTATAATTCATCTTAGATCCTTAGTCTTGCATTTAAAAAGATGGGTAATCAAAGCAGCAGCTTTATCTTCAATTTTTTGTCTTCTTTTTATCTTCTGAATTATATTTAACAAATCTTAAAGCAAAAAAAACATATTATTATATTTTATTATAAGTAGCTAGAATTGTATATGCATACTAAGATTTCTTTTATTAGTTCAAAATTCTATGTCTACTAACATAGATTTAGTAAATGTTTTAAATATAGTACCAAATTTATTGGCAAGTAGGTCT